TCTGCACCCTCTCCAATATGGGATTCCTCAAGGGATGTCTGACTGCCCACTAAGATAGGGCCTAAACAAGCAGTCAGACATCCCTATCACAATCCAGGACTGCTGACTCCCAACAGTTCACCTGTCAACCTGATTGCCCCTAACCACTCCCCTGCTGGCCTGATTGCCCCCAACTGTCCTCCCCTACAGGTCTGGTCCCCCCGCCAACTGCCCTATCCTGCAGGCCTTATTCCCCCAACTGCCCTCCCCTGCAAGCCTGGGTCTTCCTCCCTCCCCCCCAACAAGTGTCCTCCCCTGCAGGCCTGGTCTATCCCAACTGCCCTCCTCTGCTGGCCCGGTTACCCCTAACTGCCCTCCTCTGCAGGCCTGGTTCCCCCCAACTACCTTCCCCTGCAAGCCTGGTTGCCTCCAACTGCCCTCTCCTGCTGGCCCAGTCGCCCCTAACTGTTCTCCCCTGCAGGCCTGGTCCTTCCCAACTGCCCTCTCTGATGGCCTGATTTCCTCCCAATTTCCCTCCCCTGCAGGCCTGGTCCCCCAACTGCCCTCCCTTGCAAGCCTGGGTCCCCCAAACTGTCCTTCCCTGCAGTGCTGGTCTCCCCCAACTGCTCTCTTCTGCTGACTCAGTCACACTTAACTGCCCTCTCCTGCAGGTCTGATTGCCCCTAACTGCCCTCCCTTGCAGGTCTGGTCCCTCCCAACAGTCTTCCCCTGCAGGCTTGGTCTCCCCCAACTGCCCTCCCCTGCATGCCTGGTCACCCCTAACTGTCCTACTCTTCAGGACCGGTTCCTCCCATCTACTCTCCCCTATAAGCCTGGTTGCCCCCAACTGCCCTCCCCTGTTGGCCCAGTTGTCCTTAACTGCTCTTCTCTGCAGGCCTTGCCCTCTCCCACTGCCTTCCCTGCTGGCCTGGTCCCCCCCAATTGCCCTCCCCTGTAGGCCTGGTCTCCCCCAACTGCTCTCCTCTGCCGACTCAGTCACCCTTAACTGCCCTTCCCTGCAGGGCTGATCACTTCCAACTGCCCTCCCATGCAAGTCTGGTCCCTTCCGACAGTCCTCTCCTGCAGGCCTGGTCTTCCCCAACTGCCCTCCTCTGCTGACTCAGTCACCCTAACTGCCCTTTCCTGCAGGCCTGATTGCCCACAACTGCCCTCCCCTGCTGGTCATCTTGTGGTGGCCATCTTGTGTTCACATGGGGGCAGCCATCTTTGACCTGGGGGGCAGCCATTTTGTGTGTTGGAATGATGGTCAACTTGCATATTACTCTTTTATTAAATAGGATTATATTTCTAGAGTAAAAGAACCCAAATTCAAAGTCATGTCTTTTTACTGCTAACTCAGTCCTCTTGATACTTGACTATAGTGCCTATAGCACCTGCAGCAGCAATAAAGGAATACAACCCAATTGGCATGGCTCAGTGGTCCACCTATGAACCAGGAGGTCCTGGTCAGGGCACATGCTCAAGTGATGAGCTTGATTCCCAGTAGAGGGTGTGCAGGAGGCAGCCAATCAATGATTCTCTCTCATCTTTGATGTTTATATCCCTCTCCTCCTCTAAATATATATATATATATATATATATATATATATATATATATATATATATTTTTTTTTTTTTTTTTTTTTAAAGGCCTCTTGAAAGTTCTGAGAATGGCATCTTCTAACTTCTACCTCCAGGGTCACTGCAGAAATACTTGTGTGGGAATGTTTGCTCTCTGTATCTATGAACTACTAGTATATAACCTTCTTCTCTTCCTCTAAAGGAATATATTGGCCAACAAATATATTTTTCAGTGCCTACTACATGCCAGACATTGTTCTCATTGCTGGGATACAGAGTGTCTTAGTCCTTGCTCTCAAGGAATTTTTGTACTAGTGTGTGGGGGAAGACAATTAACAAGCATCAAGTCACCAAACAAATCAATCCTATCAGGTTCTGATAAGTGTTAGGAAGAAAATATAATGTGGCAGGGGCAACATAGTTAAAAGTAACTAGCACTGGCAACTTAAGGTAGGACTGAGGCAGGCTGAGTGTTCAGCTAGGCTGGTGGGTGGCTGCATCAAGCAGGAAGACCAAAGAAACAGCCATAACCATACCCCCAATAGTAGCTTGAATGCTACAAATAGCAACTGATGAGATAACATTTCCAATATATAATAGGCTACTGCTGTGGACCAGGTAATCCACCCAGTGTTTTGAGTTTGGGCATGTAGAAGAAAAGGACACAGCAGAAGAAAATGGACATGCAGAAGAAAATTTCCTTAGGACAGATAGAATAATGATGGTGCTAATGTATAGTATCACCTATTACACCTGAAATCATCCCACATTATTTTTAAAAAAGAGGGAATAATGGTGGATACATCATGTGCCAAGCAATATTCTACCTGAATTAACTCATGTACAAGGATTACCTCACAGAGACTCTTGTCCATGTTTTACAAACAAGGAAACTGAGATACAGAAACTTTCTCGTGGAATACTAAATAATGCCCCCCAAGGATGTCTGTGTCCTAATCCTGGGAACTTGTAAATATGTTATCTCACATAGTAAAAGGGGCTTTGCAGATGTGATTAAAAAATTTTGATCTAAAGAGATTATTTTAGATTATAAATCTATAATAATAAAAGCATAACATGCCAGCTAGACCGGAAAGCCAAACAACCTTCCAGATGTCCTGGACATCTTTCCAGACAACCTTCTGGACGAAGTCGGGACTGCGAGGGCCGAAGCAAGCCACCGCAGCTGTGAGGGGATCCTTACACGAGTTTTGTGCATTGGGTTTCTAGTGTAATTATAAAGATCTTTTAAAAATATATATATTTTATTGATTTTTTTTACCGAGAAGAAGGGAGATAGTTAGAAACATCGATGAGAGAGAAACATCGATCAGCTGCCTCCTGCACACCTCCCACTGGGGATGTGCTCCCAACCAAGGTACATGCCCTTGATCAGAATCAAACCTGGGGCCCTTGAGTCCACAGGCCGATGCTCTATCCACTGAGCTAAACCGGTTTCAGCAAGATCTTTAAAAACAGTCAGGAAGAAGATAGAAGCAGAGTTGGAGTGATGTGGCCAGGAGCCAAGGAATGCAGGCAGTTTTTTGAAGCTGAAAAAGGCAAGGAAATAGATTCTTCCCTAGAGGTTCCTCGAAGAAATGCCACCTTTATTTTAGTCTAGTGAAACTTATTTCAGTGTTCTGACCTCCAAAGCTATAATGTAATAAATTTGCGTTGCTTAAGCCACTAAATTTGTGGCAATTTGTTATAGCAGCAACAGGAAACTAATATATTGCTCAAGGCCAGGGAACTGCAAGTGCTAGGCCAGAATTAAAATGGAGGCAATCTGGTGCCAGTGCTAGAGATTTAGCTACCGTGTCACAGGGCTTCTCACAGATAGAATAAAATTGCAGGTTAAATGCAAAATAAAAGTGTCTCCTAGATTTTCCCCTTCTGCTCAGAATTCCAGGTTTCAGAGAAACTAAAAAAGAGAAAGGGGATCCTATGCCAGTCCCCTTTGCTGTTCCATGTCTTCAGTCCTGGACCCCAAAAATTCACTAAATAAGCCTCCTATTTTAGAGGTGAGGAATTTGAGGATGAAAGGGTTGTGATTTTGAAGTTACCCAACTTGTTGGCAAAACAACCAGTTAGTTACACAGGTGGCGATGAGGCAGGTGGTGATGAGGAGAAATCAACTGATTTCAGTGCCAGCTGGAATCCGAGGAAGGTGGCAAGTGAGGACTGAAGAATCCAGGTTTCCTGAAACCTGAGTTTCTCATTATTCGCTTAGAAAGGGCAGGAGGAGAAATGTGAATTACACATCTGCCCAATATAATATCTCTAAAAGAATTCAAAATTCTCACTGTATTAAGCTTTTAGCCCTTGTAATTTATTATATTTCCAAATAGTTATCCTCTTTGACATCCTGGTTGCTGCCCCCAGCTCGCTAACACAGCATCTAAGACAGAGTGGGTGCTTATAAATATGAATGAAAGTGTTTATGATAGCATCCTTAGAACAATGATTTTCCAAATTTAAGGTGCATGCAAACCTCCTGGGGACCTTGTTAAAATGCAGATTCAGAGTCAGAAGTTCTGGTTAGGGCCTGTGATGAGCACTCCTACCAAGTTCCCATATGGTACAGACACTGCTGGTCTATGGTGTTTTTCAAAATCCCTGAAAATAAAACCTCCCTATCCATATACAAAATATAAGTCATATTAAGTTTACTTCTCACATATTCTTTTTCGGGAAGTTATTTAAAGATGTGCTGCATATAACAAGGAAGAAACCAAGACAGGGGAAAACATGGGTTTTTTGCCAGCTTGTAACTTAGCTTGGTGTGCAGTTTTATTAATGACTGTGTACTTCGTGTGTGTTTTTCCTTTGTGAGGTTTAGGTATCAGGATCATGTTAGCTCTGTAAAATGAACAAAGTGTTCTATGTTTTTATTATCTGAAAGTGTCTGCACAGGGAATAATCTCTTTCCTCAATGTTCCCCAAAAAGAATTAAACAAAACAAATCAGCCCATTTAGATCTTTAAAAAAAGTCATATTAAGTTTGACTAGTCAATGAAAGTTTGCAAAGATGGCACAGAAACAGCACTTTCCCCTTTTAGGCACCTTTCCTGGCAAATTCGATGCCAGAAATCAATGGAAAGAGTTGGAACAGTGCCCCGAATGCCTGCTCCCTGCACTCTGCTCGGTTGGGTCTTCCCAGGGCAGGCGAGTGTGTAATGAAAGGAAAACGGGAAATGTCCAGGAGTTCTTCTGCCTCTGCTCGTCTTCCATCCCCAGCCTTTAAGGAGCTTCTGCCCGCTTTGGGATCGCCAAAGTCACAGCCACACACACCAGAGCACAGCGCCTCGTTTTGCCCCGCTCCACGCCCTTGCCCAGCAGGCGGCAGGAGGCTGCCGCGCGTGCGTGTGCGCTCGGGCTGGGTATAAATAGATCCCAGGCAGCCGCCCCTGGCCAGAGCCGGGCTGCGGGCACCGCAGGCCATGGCGGACAAGCACCAGCAGTGGCCAGGCAGCATCCTCTACAACATGCTCATGAGCGCGAAGCAAACTCACCAGGCAGAGGCTTCGGAAGCTCGGGCGGCACCCCGGGCGCGGACCCCGGGGGGCGCCTGCTGGGGCTGCTCCTGCGGCGCGGTGCCCGCGCTGGACAGAGAGGGGCAGCCGGGGAGGCGGGCGGGGACGGACCTGTACCGCTGCTGCTTCTGCGGCGAAGACCACCCTCGACAAGGCAGCATCCTCTACCACATGCTCACAAACGCCAAAAAGATGCAGGAGACCCCCGCCACCGTCGTGAGGGGCTCCTGCTGGGGCTGCGCCTGCGGAGCGGTGCCCGCGGTGGGCAGAGACGGTGTGGCGCTCCTGTACCGCTGCTGCTTTTGCGGGCAGCAGCACCCGCGGCGGCGGGGCAGCATCTTCTACAACCTGCCAGCGAGCTCCAAACAAATGCACTCGGAGGAAGCTCAGCCCGTGGCGCTGCAGGGGGCCCCCTGGTGGAACCCCTGGAGCGGCGCCCAGCGCCGGGTGGCCCTCAAGAATCCACAGGTGGTCTGCGAGGCAGCCTCCGCGGCCCTGCTGAGGACCATGCGCTTTGTCAAATACTTACCCTGTTTCCAGATTCTGCCCCTGGACCAGCAGCTGGTGCTGGCGCGCAGCGGCTGGGCACCGCTGCTCCTGCTAGAGTTGGCCCAGGACCGCGTTAACTTTGAGACCATGGAGACCTTGGAGACCGGCTGGCTGCAGAGTCTCCTCACCGCCAGGCGGCAGGAGACCGAGGGCGAGGAGCCGCCACCTCTCCCTCCGCAGCAGCAGCAGCAGCAGCAGAAGCAGCAGCAGCAGCAGCAGCGCTTGATCCCGCCAACAGAGGCCACAGGTTTGCCATCAGCCGCTGAGGTCCAGGCTATCAAGGGCTTCCTTGCCAAGTGCTGGAGCTTGGGCATCACTGCCAAGGAGTACGCCTACCTCAAGGGGATCGTGCTCTTTACCCCGGGTAAGGGTGCCCGCCTCGGGCTCTGGGTGTTCTCTGCTCAGTAGAGTATTGGGCAGTGCCTACCAGGATGCGGGCACAGGGGAGCATCCGGGCAACAGTGAAGAAAGAGCACTAAAGCAGCAGAGTGAGGGCAGTTCCAGAAACTACTCCTGTGGGTGGTCTGCTTCCAGAAACTCAGCCTGGAGGAGGGTTTTGTTGTTGTTGTTGTTGACGTTTGTACTTGCCTCACTAACATTCTGTTACTGCACAAAAGTTTGTGCTTTCAAGGGATATAGATATTCCTTCTTCTCTAGTATTTTTAAAATATATTTTATTGAGTTTTTATAGAGAAGAAGAGAGAGGGAGGGAGAGAGAGAGAGAGAGAGAGAGAGAGAGAGAGAGAGAGAGAGAGAGAGAGAGAGAGAAACACTAATGATGGGAAAGAATCATTGATCGGCTGCCTCTTGCACGCCCCACACTGGGGATAGAGCCTGCAACCCAGTCATGTGCCCTTGACCAGAATCGAATCCTTGGAGACCTTGGAGACCATTGAGTTTGCAGGCTGATGCTCTATTCTCTGAGCCAAACTGGCTAGGCCCGGGGCTTCTCTAGTCTTTTTAATCCAGTAGCATAGCTTTAAAAATTTTTGTGTTTACTGCAACTTCAGCAACATCTTTCTAAAACCCAATTCTGAAATTTACTAGAGCCTTTTGTTGTTGTTGTTGGAGAAACTCTATGAAGGCTGGCAAGAAAGGAAAAATTTCTTCACAGCTCATAGAGAGACCTTCCCTGGGGACAGTCAGGCAGGACACTGGACTTAATGTTCCATGGCTTTGTCTCTGAATGGTCATTTTTATGGTCCGAAGTAGCTGGACAATCTCATCCTCCAAGTGTCTGTGAGTTTCAGGCTACCGAGGGGCCAGGAAAATGACACAGGCCGGTGAGCAGGAACAGATCTTAGAGGCCTCTTAATCAAGTCGTTCTGTCCTCTACCCCATTTGCAGAGCAGGTATCCTGGTTCCAAGGGACCTTTCTGCAACATGAATGGCCAGTGAGCTGTGGAGCATGGGCCTCCTGTCTCCTGGGCCCAAGATCTGTTGGGTACTGGACACTCTCATCCACATGGCGCAACCAACTCATGGCAGAACATCTTCCTGGACAGTTCAGAGATCATAATAATCTGGCTACTCAGTGTATATGCCCCTGGTAGTTTTCCCCATAATCTCTATTGAACTGCAGCAAAATAAGATTATTTCTGCTGCTTAAAACCAAAGAACCTTTATTATATAATGGCATAATTCACACGGTGCAATCAACTCATGGCAGAACATCTTCCTGGACAGCTCAGCCCCTACTCCCGTGTATGTCCTAAAACTAAATCATCTTCAACCAGGATCCATCCAAAAGGGCCACAGTAGGCAGGAAGTTTCCAGGCAGCTTGGGTTGGGATAGTTTTCATAACATGTATTTTCCTGACACCAGGAGTCTCAGGTTATGCCTCACCTCCTGCTTAGCATTAAAAAAAATAATAATAGTGATATTTCTTTTTTATAACCTTTTAAAATATATTTTTGTTTATTTCAGAGAGGAAGGAAGGAAGAATGAGAGAGCGATAGAAACATCAATGATGAGAGAAAATCATGCATTGGCTGCCTTCTGTACGCCCCCTACTGGGGATCCAGTGGCAACCTGGGCACGTGCCCTTGAGTGGAATTGAACCCGGGACCCTTCAGGCCAAGGCTCTATCCACTGAGCTAAACTAGCTAGGGCATGCCTAGCATTTTTGAAGGGGTATAGAGGGAAAATGATTCATTTAGAATTCACATTTCAGACCTAGAGACCTCAGCTCATCCCAGAAATCACTGTAGGTCATCTTTTGCTTATATCACTGTTTTCCAAACTTGCCAGTGCATTAAAAACACTTGGGTGGGGAAGGGGGATGGGGCTTGTTTAAAATCTTTTTAGGCTTCTCCTCTACAGATTCTGACTCAGTAGCTCTGGTCCAGTGTGCAACTCTGCATGCATCATAAAGTGTGATTCTTATGATCATTGGGAAAGTTTTCCCCCTTTTTCAGCCTGTCTTATTAAATATCTACCATGTACTTTGTTCTGTTGGAATACAAAGGTAGCTAGGGGCTCAGTTTCCAGAAGTTTACATTTCACTAGTTTCCCTCTTTTCCTTCACCCTGTTTGCACACCTTTCTCTCTCTCTCTCTCTCTCTCTCTCTCTCTCTCTCTCTCTCTCTCTCTCTCTCTCTCTCACACACACACACACACACACACACACACTCACACACACACACACACACACACACACACACACACACACACCCCTCCCTTATTCTTACTCTGCTGCTTGATATCATCCCAATATGAGGTTAGCCTGACTGTGTTTAAAACACTAATGCACCTGTATTGGAGAGAAAAGTAAAGTCTGTTAAATGTGTGTCCTTTCTTATTTATCCTTTTTTATCTCCTGATTTGTTTGTTTGTTTGTTTGTTTGTTTGTTTTTTACTGTGGAGTCCATCTAACCACCTGTTTTACTCCCTGAATTTACGTTAAAGGAAAAAATATATATATATATTTTTTGGGGGGAGGGGGTGGGAGCCACACTGTGGTGGAAATGGAAGGGTGTGGCATGAAAGTTGAGAAAAGTGATGTGGAATTCTCAAGATAAAGCTTTAATGATCCATGAATCTATTCCTAGAGGAGCTTCAGAATTTCTGTGGAATTTCATGCAAGCCTCTTTTTCCTCTAACCAGTGGAATTCGAACCCAGTACAGCTGGGTCTCAAGCTGTAGGTAGGAGGGGATGTTAATATATGGACTGGGATAATCAGAATTGGAATATGGATCCAAGATGCTGTTTTTGTTCTAAATTTATTTATCAAATTTTGTATTTGCCTATAATAAGGATGACTCATCTATTGCCATTATTATTTTTTAAAGGACACTGACTGGTTCTGCTACTCTGTGATGATTAGCATGATGCTTTTAAAATACTTTTCTGCCCAATACAGTCAATAAAAAAGGGAAAAATACTTTCTGTTGGATTTTGTAGAAAAATAGAAGGAAAATTATTGCAATCATCATTGACATCATTCAAACAGAATGATAAATCGGTAATTACTTAAATACAAATTAGAGACTTTAAGGTAATATTAATACAATGGAGAATCAACAGACTTTCAAAAGCAGCCTTTTTACCACCTTCTTAAATTACAAACGCACTTCATCTTTCTTGTATTATATTGCACTCAGTTTTACTTGGGTGTCACATTGGACTGAAAGAAGGTCACATGTTCTCTATTTGAAAAGTTACTTTTGAACCATGTTGCAATCCTTGATGTCTTCATGTTGACTTTTTAACCTTTTAATGGCTGTAAAACAATGCTTGCAAAGACTTCTTACTGTAAAGTAATATATATTTTTAAAAGAGTCTTTTGAAATGCTCCTTAGAATCACTCTTTTTTTTTTTTAACCTTCCCCAATACAGAAATTATGGTTCAAGGAGCTAAGTGGTCAGTGTTCTCTCTTAAGTTATTATGGGACTCAAGACTAAAATCAGCCTGCAGGCAAATACTTAAAATGAGACTGTGAGTCATTGTTTGTGTTGTGAAGTTCACCACCATTATAATTATTATAATGGTGGAAAATGCCAGAGAGGATGATAAAATATTTTTCACCTAGCAAAACTCCTTGTCATTATACAATGGCCTGTTTCCCACAAGTAAATGGCAAAGTGCTCACTTGAAATCATTTTACTTTCTTCATATTTGCACAGATAGTAAACTGGAGCAATGATGCATTAAACTATATTTTACTGTCATAGTGAATGAAGTGCGCATTTGTTGGCTCAGGGCCAGCAGTTTCTAAGTGTGAGGAGACATAGTGGATTATACGATGCTTCATTCTTGGAAGCATTGCTTTTGAAAACTTAGAACTAGTTTGGCATTTATCCTTGCTCTAGAAAGCCCTTTATACCAGGTAGCTGAGCTCTTGTTTAATTTGAGAAGGGGCAGAAATTGATGTGTTTAATAAGCTAACAAAGGACTCTGTGAGTGAGCTGTTAACAACAAAGAGATTTTGCTCCCATTCTCTCTTCCAGACCTGCCAGGCCTCAAGTGTGTGAAGTACATTCAGGGACTTCAGTGGGGAACTCAGCAGATCCTCGGCGAACACACCAGGATGATGTACAGAGGGTACCATGTCAGAGTCGCTGAACTGAATAGCATCCTTTTCCAGCTTAGATTCATCAGTGCCAGTGCTGTTACTGAACTGTTCTTCAGGTCCATCATCGGCACTGTCAGCATGGATGATATGATGCTGGAGATGCTCTGTACGACTTTATAAAGGCATCTATGGGCCGCAAGTGCAGTTCACCATGAAGCGCTAAGGAGTTGTGGGCAAAAGAGTGTAAAATTACATTCAATAAACTTTCTTATTATTTTTACATGTCATGCATAGTATTTTTGTATTCAATTAAAGAAAAAATTTAGTCACAGACAATTAGAAAGTCCTGTGCATCATACCAGTTCATTGTGAAGGAAATATTTGCAACAGGTAACATATCTCTGTACATCTTTAAGGAAAGAGCAGAGTATTACACTAATAAGCTATTTTCACAAGTTTAGTGATGCTCCACTGACCCTGCTAAAATCAAATTTGTACTATTAAGTCTTAATAAATGTTAAGGTGTTAACTATTAACTTGATTGCAAAAGGTTTCTTCAGAATTGAAGACTTATCTTGATGTGGGGTTGGGGGGAATGAGAAGAGATGAGCCAAAGAACTTATATACTTTTCATAGCCCATGGTCATGGCCAATAGGGTAGTGGAGACCTGGGGGTGGGTGAGTAGGAGCTGGGTGGAGGTGGGAAAGGGGAAAATGGGAGATACATGCAATACTATCAACAATAAAAAATATATTTATAATCATAAAAAATAGTTTAAAACCTAGCCAACATAAACAAAAATTAAGTTATCTTTATAGATGACATTATGGCATTTAATATTAGGACATGCCAGTGTCAGTGAGGGTAGCCTTATGTCTGCCTTCATATCCACTTCCATCTGTTATATGGAAGACTGTCTTTGGATCAAGTAGAGTCAAGTGGCCATCTGTAATCATAGGGGCACCTGAAAGTGAAGTAGGAGTTTTTCAAAGTTTTAATTTGGGATTTTTCTTGTACACAGTGAATAAAGTCCAACAAGAAACAACCATTCTATAATTCCAGAAAGCTCAACATCATATAAAGCCTCAATTATATCTCACCTTTTAAATACATTATGTATGTAGTTGTCACACTGAACAAGCATGGCGCAGAATCATAAAGTGACTTTATTGTTAGCTCCCGGTGTCCCTTTAAATGCCATCTTTAGAACTAGTTCTTCCTTGTCTCTGAATAAAATATATGGCACTAAATATTTATTCACTTACTAGAGGCCTGGTGAATGAAAATTCATGCACTGTAGGGGGGGGGGGTCCCTCATCCCAGACTGCCCCCTCTCACAATCCGGGAGCCCTCAAGGGCAGGAGGTGACCCGGCAATCAGGGGAAGGTGATGCCCCATCACACCTCTGCTGCTGCCAATGCCAGCAGCACAAGCCTCAGCTGGCCCAGGTAGTCTGAGCCTTGGGAAGTCCTGGGAAGCTTGCATGCACCTTGGGCTGGCCTTGAATGGCTTAGGGGCTGAAGGAACTGGGGGACTCTGAAGGCAGATGCGTGGAAGAGCCAGGCCCACCTGGGGGTGGGCCCAGCCTTGCTTCATGCCTGCCAACACGAGGGGCTGAGAGGACTGGGCACCACCATTTTGTGGCTCTGGGCGCTGCCATCTTTAATGGCATGGCAGTCAATTAGCATATCCCCTCCTTATTGGCTGTTGGCACTGGCATCTTTGAGGGTGGGACAGTCAATTAACATATCCCCTCTTTATTGGCTGTGGGTGCTGCCATCTTTGTGATGGCATTAGGTTCAATTCAATTAGCATATTCCCTCTTTATTAGATAGGGTAGGTAATAAATTGCCCATTAATGATTACTACATCTAGACCCATTGGAAGGAGTCTTCAACTTTCTTTTGTGTGAATCCTATGGCCATCTTAGAATCAGGCTCCCAGAATAATTCAGCAAATAAAATACTTGGAAATACAAAGGTAATATGTTAAGACATAATAAAAATGTTAAATTTAAAATGTGGCATATGTGCTTCCTTATCAACACATTAAATACCAAATTATCTGGTGGCAGATCTACCTTAATGTCAAAGCAGTGATCAGTATAATTGAAATTTCAAAGTACCCTATATCTATAAAGTGATAAGAAAATAACTGAGATTTTCATTGCTTATTATTGGGGGACCCCAAGATTACCACTCCATTCAGAGATTTTCAAGAAAGTTTCATGGGATTCAGCATATAGTTGTGTTAAGGGCTAAGACTGTTACAAAAATGTGTAAGGATATCCCTGGCCAGATGGATCTGTTGGCTGAGCATTGTCTCATGCACCAAGGGGTTGCAGGTTCAATTCCTGGTCAGGGCACATGACCGGTTTGCAAGCTTGATCCTAAGGAGGGGGTTATGCAGAAAGCAGCCAATCCATGTTCCTCTCTCATTGTTGTTTCTCTCTCTCCCTTTCGCTCTTCCTCTGTCTCTAAGAATCAATAAAAACATTATGAAAGAGATGTGTAAGGCTATATGGCTGGACATCTAGGTGGGGTCGGGAGGAATCCACATGCTCTCCCTTTCCCATGAGTAGTCACACAGAGCACACCCTTCCCAGCAATAAAAACTCAGTAGCACATGTGTGATATTCTTGCCTAGGGAAGCCCTTTGAGATTCATAGTTTAGGGTTTTTATTGAGTGCTAGTCACACAGGCACTCTCTGCCTAGCATGTACCAGAATTTCAAACACAGAGATAAAACAGGTGTTCAGCATAAGTCCCATTGTTTTCACAATCTAGGCACAGTGACAGACTCTAATGAATTGGGGAAGTGTGGGAACTCTTCAAATTGAAGTACCCAGAAATCAGCCAAGAGCCAACCTCGCAAGTGGGCCATTCACGCTAAGAACAGCAGTCTCAGTTTTGCAATGTCAACTTGTCTGCACACTCCAGTCCCTTGGCCCATAGCCTAGGTGTCTTGACAGAATTATTATCAGCAGGACCCCACACAGCAGGCTGAGTCTAACTTGCAGTATTGACCTCACTTATGCCCTATTCAGTCATGGATTTCAACAGCTAAAACACCTCTTATTATCCATAAAGGTCTGTCTTAGAAAGCCCAGCAGCTTCCTCTGTAAGCTTCTCTATTAACCTGGCCCGAGGCATCAATTCAGGATCAGCATGGCTCTGCCAGTGTCACGAAGGTCAGGGCACACACCCAAGGAGTGCAATCCCTGAGGGCACATGGGGGCACACACGTCACCTGGAAACAAAGCTGTGACTGTCATAGCTCTCTTCCATCCTCCAAAAATCTATACCCCAAGCAGAACATGCATTGAGTAGGCAGGACACGATACCAGGACCTCCCACGTGGCTTCCCACTGTGGGTCCTCCAGCCCCGGGGTTCTCAGTTCAGTCCTTGCTTTCAGAGGCACCGCCTGAGGCAGTCAGTTTCAAATAGTTCTGTCTGCGACTCAAGTTCATCACCTGCCAACTGTGCAGAGCTGGCTCACCCTTGCTGTTTCATGGTCACAGGGTCACATGCCTTCTGGGCTCCGCAGTCCTTCTGAATCTGAGTGCTCACAGCAGCTTGGAATGGCAGCACAAGTGTTTTTCTTCAGAAAAGAGGAGAAAAGCCCTGGCCGGTTTGGCTCACTGGATAGAGCGTCGGCCTGCAGACGCTCAGGTTTGATTTTGGTCAAGGGCACATGCCCAGGTTGCAGGCTTGATCCCCAGCAGGGGGTGTGCAGAAGGCAGCTGATCAGTGATTCTCTCTCATCATTGATGTTTCTATATCTCTCTCCTCTTCCTCCCTTTCTCTAAAATCAATAAAAGATATATTTATAAAGAAAGAGGAGAAAGCTTCCAGGAACAGATATGAAAACAAAGAATTAATGTTCTGCCATGGTCCTGCAATTTCCCGGATGCCAGGGTTTGTTATTGTTGATGTTGTTGTTACAAAGCCAGTGTGTCCAATTCACTAATCCTATCTTCACAATGTTTCCTAATCATTTCATTTTTTGCCCAGACCTTTATGTGGAAGGGTTGTGTGCCAGATGGACAAAAACATTTTCACAGAATAACATTTTTATCCAACTTAAACCAGAAAGACATCATATTGTGGAGAACTGGTCAGAGCAAGATCCCTGTTTTTCCATATTCTTTAAAAAAAAATGGACTTACAGATGAAGCCAGTTTGGCTCAGTGGATAAAGCATCAGTCTGTGGACTGAAAGGGCATGTACCTTGGTTGTGACTACATCCCCAGTAGGGGGTGAGCAGGAAGCAGCTGATCGATGATTCTCTCTCATTGATGTTTCTATCTCTCTATGTAATGGACTTACATAACCCCACCTCCCACATGCCTCTTGTCCAGATCATTTATTCAGTAAGCAGCCTGGAAACCATCAATCCCTTTCAGAGGACAGCTGCCTGGAGTGATCCAACGGCCTTACTAAGGTGTGTGCAGCAGGAGAAAAGCGAGGGAAGTGGAATGAGGTTGCCAATCCATTGTTGCAAATGGCAACTACTCTGGAAAGCTCACATCCACAGCCGTGAGCCATCACACCACCACAGAAGGGTTCCAGAGCCTGATTGGTCAGAGGTGGGTGGAGGGGGCACATTCCCCCAACTTGCAGATTTCAGAGGAATCACGAGTTAGGTCTGCAATCAGGCTCTGCGTCAGAATTATAGCGCCTGTCCACAACTCCACTTCTCAGGGTCCTGTTCAAGAACTAGCTCTTACTCTAGGCAAGCATGTCAAACTCAAAGGCTAACACGGGCCAAATAAACAAGGTTTAAGTGTATGTGGGCCACAAGAAAACAAAAGCTTCAATTTTCATAGAAACATAGGTTTATTTTGGTAGACATATGCTGAATACAAAAGGCTGAAAGAAATGACGTATTAACATAAAATAACAGAACATTTTGATAAAAATTTATATTTTTTCTTGAGCGTTAACTTACCAGACACTGAATAACTGCACAAGTTAATAAGCATAATGCAAATAAACCTGTTTTCCTTGTTCTCCGAAAGCAAAATATTTCCTGTTATGCATACCAAACAAGTCAGTCCAATTTGGCCATCGGCTGCTAAAATATTCACTGCTGGTATTAGTGGAGAGAAATGGTGCGCCAGCGCGTAAGGCGTGTAAGGGAAATGAATGCAACACGAGTGTAGTAATCAGTCATTAG